GGCCTCCTGGCCAAACTGAGCAACTGATGGAGAAGGGCTTTGTCTAGACTGGTGAACAAGAAGCTGATGGTCAATCTAGTTGCTCCATGATCATATATGCAGATGGGAGAAACCTACAGAAGGACAAACATCACTGCAACACTCCACCGATCTGAGCTTTATGTCGGTGTGGCCAGACTCAATCTTCTCCTCAGTGAAGACACATGAAAACACACTTGGAATTTGCAAAAAAGCACCTAAAGGACCCTTAGACTGTGAGAAACAAGATTCTCTGGTTTGATGAACCTCAATTCCTAGCATCATGTTTGAAGGAAACCAGCTCTGCTCATCACCTGCAGAGTACCATCCCAAAAGTAAAGTGTGTTGGTAGCGTTTTTCAGCAGCAGGGACTGAGGGACTTGTCAGAGTAGAAGAAAAGCTCAATGCTCCAACATATTGAGATAGCCTTAATGAAAACCTATAGTCCAGAGCATTCAGAACTCAGAGTGGGCAGAAGGTTCACCTTCCAACAGGACAATGATCCTAAGCACACAGCAAGAGTGGCTTATAGACAACTCTGTGAATGTCCTTGAGTGGCCCAGCCAGAGCATGAGCTTGAACCCAATCAAATATTTCTGGAGAAACTTGAAAATGTGCATTTGCTCCCATCCAACCTGACAGAGCTTGAGAGGTGAAGAATGGCAGATAATTGCCAAATGCTGTTGTCACATCATACCCAAAAAGTCTTGAGGCTGTTAAGGTGCTTCAGCTAAGTACTGAGTTAAGGGTTTGAATACTTATGCAATGTACTTCTTTCAGTTTTTTTATTTTTAATAAATTTACAAATTTGTGACAGTTCTGTTTTTGCTTTGTCAGTATGGTGTATGGAGTGTAGATTGATGTGGAGAAAAAAAAGTAATTTAAAGCAGTTTAACATAAGGCTGCAACATAACGAACAAAACGTGAAATAAATGAAGGGGTATGAATACTTTATTTATATATATATATATATATATATATATATATATATGCACAATTGACATAATTTATATTTTGAGATTTTTTGTGTCCTTTTTCAAACTATTAATTATTAAGAGGTTTATTGAATTATGTCTTATTTTGTTGCTTAGCTTGATTCAACAAAAGTTGCTTCAGTTCATGTTGGTCTTTAATTGTTCTTTACGTCATTGCTCCTTGGAGACCTTGGGTAGTCTGTTGTGTTGGTATCAGTAATGACAAAGAGTGGTCAGCATCTCTCAGGCTTTCAATCAACTATTCATATTAACTGTTAAAACCGACATGTGTTCTCTCTCCACAGAAATCCCAAGTTGTGCAGCTGAACGTTGGAGGTCATGTCTTCAGCACCACCCTGGGAACCATCCGTAAATTCCCAAACTCCACACTGGCGGGCCTGTTTAACGGATCAACCAAACGGATGGACTCTGAGGGCCGTCACTTCGTAGACCGTGATGGGACTTATTTCGGGTGCATCCTCGAGTACCTCAGAATGGAGAAACTTCCTACTGAACACCTGCAGGAGGTGCATAAGGAGGCGCTTTACTACGACATCAAACCTCTGGTCAAAGCCATCGAGGAGACGCCGCAGTTCTTCGGAGAGTCGGTCGGGAGACAGCAGTTTTTGACCCGTGTGCCAAATTATCGAGAAAACCTGGAGGTGATTGTGCGGGTGGCCAGAGCCGAGGCCATCGCCTCACGCTACTCCAACATAATCGTGTGTGTTGTGAGGACAGAAGAGGATTTAACCAGATACAACCATGCTATCGACAGTCTCGGCACCCCAAGAGAGTCTGTGGTGAGCTTTGGTCCGTGGAAAGCTCCCGCGTCAGTGGAAGATCTGTTAGATTGCGTCAAATTGGACATAGAAGCCAAAGGATATAAAGTAAAGATCCAACCACACAGCATAGACAAAGGGTTTCTCTTTAAGAGCTACGACTTCTTCTATAAATTGATTTTCACTTGGTGGTGAAGAATTTTAGGCCCAAGCTCGTGACTTGGAAATAGGAATTTAAAAAGTGAAGGAATGTTTTATATATTATATAATCAGCTTATCAAACTAATTCGACATTAACAGCTTCTGTTCCTTTAGCAGACCCACCTATCGACAGCTGTCATGGTGTTCTTATCTGTCAGTATCTGTTAAACCCTTGTTTAATATTGACTCTAGTTGAACAATCCTGGCCTTTGGCTTAAAATAGCTTCTGCACGGATCTGTCTTTATTAGGAATATTCTGGTTTGGGTTTTATCAGCAGCATTTGTGGCATGCTTTGGATTACAACAGAATATTATTTTGACTACATTTTGTGTACAGAAATGCCCTTAACATAATTTAGGTAAATGCATAGTTTTAGCTGCTGCAGCCTTTAAGTTGCTTTTAATTGAACCATAAACCCTTCAAATCAGCTTTAGGTTTTAAGGAATGTTTTTGGCTTGTTAATTTGTCAACACATTTGTAAAATTGTATGCATTTTTTTTATGCATGCAACTTTTATGTATTTGGTTGATGCTTTTATCCAAAGCAACTTGCGTTGTATTCAAGGTATGCATATTATCATGCTTTCCCAATGCATTCTATAAGAATGTGGAAACAGGTCCACTTCATATACCAACATTATAATCTCCCTAATTTGTGCTATGTGTAAATAATGTCTGTTTTCACTTTGTACAGCATGTGTTTATGATGTGTTTTTTTTTGCTGCCAAGACACTTGATTAACCCTTTGCTCATGTAGATCATTAACGGTGCAAAATAATATTAAGAAAGAGTGATGTGCCATTTCCAGCAGAATTGCTGTTGTCGTATCTTATTACTTCATATATGTTTAAAGAAGCAGGATACCAAAAAAAAAAGTATATGATATGAATATCAAAAATAAATTTAATTGATTACGTTATTGTCTAATATTTACTGATTGCTGTATATGTTGCTTCTAGTCCATTATTCTCTGTCACATTATTATTATAGCCGCCTATATTTTATATGCTATAATTCTGTAAAAAAGATATTGAAAACTTTAATCATCTCTTCATGTGCAGAGTCACTGAAACGAGTGAAAGGTCAAGCTTAGAAAAAAAATTAAGAATATTTTTAATCTGTGGTGTTGTAATCTCATTCAAATCAGAATAGGTTGTTTCTAATATTATGACATTCAAAATGCATTACTGTATGTAGAAGGCATAGAATGTGTGATTTCTGAAGACTTCCGTCCATGAGGTGTCGCTGTTCCGCCGCAAACGTCTGACGCCGCTGAACGGCGCATGCGCGAAGAAGAGCAGGAGCGCAGCCGTAAACACAGCTATGGCAGCTCATCTGAAGAAACGAGTTTATGAGGAATTCTCTAAAGTTTCTCAGGTGAACACATAAAACACGACATATACTGATTATAAAATGTCATATTATTGTGCTGGTCACAGAATAGAATTATAATAGAATACAGGTAAGTATTCTAAGTAAGTTCTAGTAAGTATAATACAGATGTAGCATTTAGCATGAGTGTGTTGATTATTACTGTAACCGGTATTATGTGTATTAACTATTTTTCTAACGACAAACAACCATTTATTAATTCATAAATTTATGCTATTTGGCTGTTATTTGCTTTATTTAAAGTCTTTTTAGTCAGAGGAAAGTTGAAGCACTATTTACACATTTTTAAATGCACTTGTGTGTGCTTTTCTTTTTCTTTTCTTACTGAAATCGTAATGTTTTCCATTTCTTTTCTCTTTGGAGCCTGCAGCAATAACATCTCATTGCCAACTAGGCCTGTCACGGTAACAACTTTTGGTTGTGCGATGTTTTGCCCCAGAAATAATTGCGATAAGCGATATTATTGTCATTTTAAAGACCATTTTATGCCACTGAATATATAATCATAATGTAACAGCATAATAATGCAAGAAGGCCTGCACACTTCCAAATGACAACACACTTTTAATTTTTAAGAATATTTAGATCATGGAAATTAAGTATCAAAATATTAGATACCTTAAAATACTTGAATAAATAGTAAATAAACATTTTCTAACAAAAAGTGCAAAGTAACAAGTACAAAAAAAAAGAAAAATGCACTTTTATGGAGATTTTTCCCTGACCTTCTTTTCTCTGTAAATTAAGCGTGCACACTATTGCTGAAAAACACAATCTCTACTCAGCAGTCAGATGTCCGTATGCACAAAGGCACAGATCCCTAAACAAGACCATATCTGCAGATGAAACGTTGAACTAGCACCTCATGACTACACCACGTTAATTACGAGAAGCTGCAAAAGACACAGGCGCAAGTGGAATGTAAAAAACACGGTGACATGAATTTTTAAGTAAATATAATGTGCGATATATTCCATCACCAAAAATTATTGAGGTCATGTACATATATTGCGCGATAAGTCGATATATTGATTATTGCGACAGGCCTATTGCCGACACTTGATGTTGGTGTACTCTCTCAGATTGTGTAATAATGAAAAATAAATAACTCAAATGAATGTTTTAAGTCTTTCGTGGTTGTGTCTGAGACGTATATCACAAGATATCAGAAGTGAAATAGTCAGTGATATCAGTCTTTTCTCAATGTTTATATCAGAGCCTATTGATTGATCAAGTTTTTTTTTGCAGCAGCAGCAGCAGGTGTCTCTTGAGGAGGTTCCAGCGAAAAAGCTTCGACTGACCAAACCCAGTAAATCAGCCGCTCTTCACATAGACCTGTGTAAAGCCACCAGCCCCACAGATGCTCTGCAGTACCTGCTGCATTTCGCATGGAAACCTGTGGAGACTGAGAGCGTGGAGGGTGTCGTGCGCATACTGCTCGAGCATTATTACAAGGTATTGCAACACAACCTTCATGGCTGATACTGATATTACTTATTAAGCACTCAGACATTTTGAAATGAAACCCTTGCATATTCCATTAAATGTGTATGATGAAAGTAATATTATGTATTACTTTTAATAAATGTGCCCTATGTGTTTGCGGTAATGTGGTCTACAGGAGTCAGATAACTCTGTCAGGCTGAAGATCGCTTCATTGTTGGGTTTATTATTGAAATCCCAGGGCTTTGCTCCAGTCTGCGTAGTAGATGATGCTATTAACACTCTCAACAATGAAAGTAAGTCTTTGATTTAAAATTATAATGTACTACTAGAAAGTAATGTGACTCTTAAAGGGATAGTTCACCCAAAAATTCTGTCATCATTTACTCACCCTCATGTCGTTCCAAACCTGTATGAGTTGCTTTCTTATGTTGAACACAAAAGAAGATATTTTGAAGATTGCTGGTAATCAAACAGTTGGTGGTAGTAATACTTCCATAGTATTTTTTTTCCCTACTATGGAAGTCAATGGCAACCACCAACTGTTTGACTGTTTCATTTTTGGGTGAACTATCCCTTTAATATAAATGTCTTTATCATTTAAGCAGTTGTTTTATTTAATGTCATACCTCAACAATAATAATGGCCCCGGATAGTTCACAAAAGTGTCTTTAGAAGATGATGTGAAGAGTATATTGATTATCAAAAACATGAACAACTCAATAAAAAAAAAAAAAAATTCTGACTAGGGCTGCACGATAAATCGCATGCGATATTTAACGCGCATCTTGTCAGTAAAGCCGGTTCTTTAATCAGCGGTAAATCTCCATCACGTGCGTGCTTTCACATTGAGCAGCATTAACTACACAGAGCCGTTGTTCACTGACGAGCTGCGCAAAACCACGTTCATATTTTGCGCATGTTTTGCGCAGCTTGTCGGTGAACAACGTGCTATCGTGTGTTATCGTGCAGCCCTAATTCTGACACATATAAAATGCATTACTAAAATGTATTGTTTTTTTATGGTAGAGCTAGTGAGAATCTGAACCACTGACCAATTAGGTCAGCTGAAATATTCGTTACTACTGTACTGTCAAGCTCTGAATAATTCAATCAATGCAGATTAGTTTGGGTTAACTGTGTGTGGAAATTGGATATTTCTAAGAATTTTGCCTGTGTTTTAGAGTCTCATCAGGTTCTGGCGCAGCTTCTGGACACTCTATTGATCATCGGCACTCAACTCCCAGACAAGATCGCTATCATTCAGAGACTTATAGATGTGGCTTGCAAGGTGATTGTAATAAATAAGAAGATATCTTCCATTCCTATAACTCTGAAATCATACTTTTGACAGTAACAATGGTTGATACTGATTTAATCAGCTTTTTAGCAGTTTTATATCATTCTGAATCAGAAATATTATTACAGTTGTTAAATATTTTACTTTCATGTCATATTTTTCCTCAGCATCTTTCAAGCACTTATTTCAGAGTGAGGAATAAGTGTCTGCAGCTGCTGGGCTGTCTGGGGACGGTTGATAAACCTCTCAGTAAAGAGACTGATGCAGGACCCGGAGCACAAACATCACACGTACGGGATGTACAGAGTGTGATCAGCGACTACTTCCAGGACCAGGACCCTCGCGTCCGCACCGCCGCCTTCAAAGCCATGGTACATGAGCTCTGTAGAATAACGCCATGTTAAAATGCATTGAATGTGGCTTTTATTTACTTGCATTTCTTTAAATGACTTCAGTGCATTTTTCTTTCTCCGATCAGCTGCAGCTACATGAAAGAGGGATAAATTCAACAGACTATTTATAACCAGGTCAGTATCAGCTATAATAATCTTACACTAACGTTCAAAAGTTTAGGGTTGGTAAGATTTTTTAGTTTTTGAAAGTTGCTTACCAAGGCTGCATTAATTTGTTCAAAAGTATAGTAAAAATATTAGATATTATTATTTTTAATAACTGTTTTCTATGTGAATATATTGTAAAATGTAATTTATTCCTGTGATGCTTGATTTTCAGCATCATTCCTCCAGTCTTCAGTGTCACGTGATTCTTCAGAAATCATTCTAATATGCTGATTTGCTGCTCAAGGAACATTTCTGATTATTATCAATGTTGAAAACAGTTGTCCCGCTTCATATTTGTGTGGAAACCATTTTTTTCAGGATTATGTGATGAATAAAAAGTTCATAAGACCAGCATTTATTTGAAATAGAGATCTTTTGTAACATATATGTCTTTACTGTCACTTTTAAACAATTTAATGCATCCTTTCTGTGTGGATCAATTTCTTTAAAGCAAACTTCTGAATGGTAATATATTTAAAATTTTTCATTCCACTGAGCATGAGATTACAAAAGAAATAACTTGCATATGAATGTCTGATCCCCTGCACAGGCCTGTAAGCTCTTGAGTGATGATTATGAGCAGGTTCGTTCAGCAGCGGTGCAGATGGTTTGGGTTCTGAGCCAGCTTTATCCTGAGAGGTAGAGACTCTCAAAGCCTTACTTTGTGTTTTGTTATATGTGCCCATCCAGTCTTCAAGAATAGGTAATGCTGACTGCAGCCATTGTGTACTTACTGCTTTCTGAGCATGCACTGTTGTGAATGGTTATTAATGGTTATTTCAATTCAAGAAACTCAAGAATGAAGTCTCTTAACGTGGATTGAACATTAATTTGTCTTTATGCATTAACAGTATTGTTCCCATCCCCTCCTCCAATGAGTAGATCCGACTGGTGGACGACTCCTTCGGGAAGATCTGTCACATGGTCTGTGATGGCTCATGGGTAGTCAGAGTGCAAGCTGCGAAACTGCTGGTGAGTGTTGGGTGTGTTTGTAGCATAACCGCATGATTAATTTCTGATTGACTCACCACTCACTTTTCCATCCAACTGTTTCTCTCTCTCAGGGCTCAATGCATCAAGTCAGCCCTCATTTTCTGGAGCAGACATTAGACAAGAAGCTGATGTCAGATCTCAGGGTATTTATACACAAAACACACGATGAAAAACATGCAAGGAACGTAAATGCAAGAACTTTTAAAAACATAATTCTCGTTCTATCTCAGAGGAAACGTACTGCTCACGAACGAGCAAAAGAACTGTACGCTTCTGGAGAGTTCTCATCTGGACGGCGATGGGCCGATGACGCTCCTAAAGAGAAAGTCGACACTTCGGGTGTAAATCTTATCGACTCTGGAGCCTGTGGGGCTTTTGTTCATGGCTTGGAAGATGAGATGTACGGTATGTATTTCAAAACACTGCCATTATTTATCTTTGAGGACATTTGTGACCCTGGACCACAAAACCAGTCATAAGGGTAAATTTTTTTAAAATTGAGATGTATACATCATCTGAAAGCTGAATAAAGAAGCTTTCTATTGATGTATGGTTTGTTATGATAGGACAATATTTGGCCGAGATACAACTATTTGAAAATCTGGAATCTGAGGGTGCAAAAAAATCTAAATATTGAGAAAATCGCCTTTAAAGTTGTCCAAATGAAGTTCTTGGCAATGCATATTACTAATCAAAAATTAAGTTTTGATATATTTACGGTAGGAAATGTACAAAATATCTTCATGGAACATGATCTTTACTTAATATCCTAATGATTTTTGGCATAAAAGAAAAATGGATCATTTTGACCTATACAATGTTTTTTTGGCTATTGCTACAAATATACCTGTGCTACTTAAAGGTGCTGTTTGTAGGATTGACACAGAGAGGTTGAACTAGGTATTGCAGTCCAAATTCAAAATATTGGAGAGCGTTTTTTTCACCCGGCCCCTCCTCCTCAGACTTGACGCAGGTTGTCAGATTGACTACACCAACAGGAACGAGCACACTTGACGATGAATGAAATGAAATACGCTGTGTTTTCCGCCAACTGGCATCCCGGGGTGACGAAATACAATTGGGTAAACTGGCAGTGGGCGGGTTTCACAAACCAAAACAGACCGACATTCCGGCCCGGAACGCACATTTTCAAAGGAGGATAACTGACTGTAGCATTGTTTTTCAGATAAACAAGTATGTTATCTAAGCATGTTTCTTAAATATCTGCAAACATATTATTGTATTTTTATGCTTTAGTAGAGTCAAAAACTTATATACAGCACCTTTAAGACTGGTTTTGTGCTCCAGGGTCACATTTTAGCACTTTGTTATTTATTTGGTATCACTTTTCACAGAGGTGCGTATTGCTGCAGTAGAGGCGCTGTGTTCCCTCGCCCAACCCTCACCCAGCTTTGCAGAAAAGTGTCTTGACTTCCTGGTGGACATGTTTAATGATGAAATCGAGGAGGTGCAGCTACAGTCCATCCACGTGTTGCGGCAGATCTTGACTCATATCACGCTCAGAGAAGACCAGCTGGACACTGTCCTCGCAGTACTGGAGGTAGGCCACTGCTATATGTGACAAAGTCTAAACCACTGAGCACAAAGTAAGCATGACTGCTGTACAGTTAATCAAAATGCAACAAAATTGCAGTATGGCTTAATGTGATTATCATATCACAAAAACTGCAATTTGATCATTTTATTGATTAAACAAATGTGTGTTTCAAGGGTGAAGTGTAGCACTGAAACTTTTTGCTCTCTGCAGTTTTCTGCATTTGAAAATGTATAAATTAAGTTATAAATATTAGTAGCCTATAGTAATTTTACAGTTGTACTCTACAATAAAATAATATAATAACATTTTTTAAATTTTACAATGAAATATCACAATGGTATTATTTCTTAATTTGCTCAATTATAACAATAACAATAAAATCCTAACAATAACAGCATCAACAACAACAACAACAATAGTAATAATTGTTATTATTTATTGTTGTTATTATATGAATAAAATATAAATTTATTTTTTATATTTTTACAGTGAAATATCACAATAGTAATATTTTATTTATTGGTAATGTTTTTATATAGTAATAATAACAACAATAATCCTAATAATAATAATAATTATTATTATTATATAGTCATATTTAAATATAATAAAGTTTTTTTTGGCTACAAACAAGCATGGCAAACCTAGCACATTTATTTTTTAAATCACAATGTTTTCAGAAAAATTGCAATTAGACATTTCCCCAAATCATTCAGCCATAATATCAGACCAATTAAGTGGCCATTCATTGCAGGACTCATCGCGGGACATTCGCGAGGCCCTGCATGAGCTGCTCTGCTACACTAACGTGTCCACTAAAGAGTGCATCCAGCTGGCCCTCGTGGAACTCCTGAAGAACCTCACCAAGTACCCGACTGACCGCAACTCAGTCTGGAAGTGAGTTTCAGTGGCTGTTCGTGTCCGTTCTTCGCTGTCATCCAGCCCCATTCTCAGTATTATTATTTTTTTTCCTCTTGCATTCCAGATGTTTGAAGTTCCTCGGTGCTCGACACCCGACCCTGGTGCTGCCGATTGTCCCTGAGCTGCTGAGCACACATCCGTATTTCGACACCCCAGAACCAGACATGGACGACCCTGCCTGTATCCTGCACATCTGACATGATAACATGTTAATGCATGTTACTTTTTACATAGCATTTGTGACCCTGGACCCTAGACCCTAGTCAGTGTGTAGTGTGTATGTTTGGACATAAAAAAGATCTAGAAAGTTACAAATCTCAAAGTCCACTCCAAAGGGAGATATTTCGTTTTTTTAAAAACCCTTTTCAAGAACTGCAACGAACGGCTCGTTTGGACTACAGTGTTTGTTTTCCGGGCTTTGTGATATCACAAAGCGGCTCATTGGAATATCATTACAAATAATTCCCGCCTACAGAAATTGGAATGGTTGGGGGGTGGGGAGGGCGAGGTTGTGGTTAGAACGCTTGGTTGAGCGCGTGCATCAGACGAGACGACGAAGAAGAAGTGCTGCTGCAGAGTTAGTGCATCAGAGAAAACCAAGAAGAAGAGCTGCTGTGCTGTAGCCTCAAATTTTCAGCATGTCTAGAACAATTCTTACAAGTATAACACGACGTAGCTGGGCGCCGCAGACAGATGCCGAACGGCGCCGCCGGTGTGCCTACACTCATAGAAAATAAAGTATTTGAATTTTAAAGACGTGGCGCGACACGACGCTGTGCGTTTTTCGAACCACCAAGCATGAGAGCATGTTCTAGGAAACCCCCAAAACAAAATCAAGACTTTGTAAAAGAGCATAATAGGACCCCTTTAAGTAGCATGGGTATATTTGTAGCAATAGCCAAAAATACATTGTATGGGTCGAAATTATCGATTTTTTTTATGCCAAAAATCAGACTTAAAAGTGATGAATAATACAACATAAGCAATTTGCTTTGAATACTGAATGGCAGGAATGACGCTGATCTTAATATTCAGTCTGAAATGCATTTCCAAACATCTGATTTCATGTGTTTATTTGCTGTTCAGACTTTGCTGTTGGATAATTTCTGTTTCCCGTCTGTTGAGCTGTAGATATTCATGTGTCTGTTCAAAATCTTGTTTTCCTGACCTGGGTTTGTTCAGACATCGCTGTTTTAGTTCTGGTCTTCAACGCAGCCAAATCCTGTCCCACCATGCCAGCACTGTTCTCAGATCACACGTTTAGGCACTACGCCTACCTGCGTGACAGCTTGTCCCACCTGGTACCACACCTCCGTGTGAGAAACCTGCCTGCATACTTCATATCCAGCCTTTCACTTTTATTTAAGGATAACATGCACTGATGCATAAAATTGATCAAAAGTGACAGTAAAGACATTGATCAAGTTAAAGGAATCCTGAGAAATTTAGCACTGTTTCTACAAAGAAATATTCAGCGGCACAACTGTTTTCAACACTGATAATAATCAGAAATGTTTCTTGAGCAGCAAATCAACATATTAGAGTGATTTCTGAAGGACCATGTGACTCTGTTGACTGGAGTAATGATGCTGAAAATTCAACTGCGCTTCACAAAAATAAATTACATTTTAAAATATATTCAAATAGAAAACAGTTATTTTAAATTGTAATAATATTACTATTTTTATTGTAAGTGACTTCTTTCAAAAACATAAAAAAATCGTACTGACCCACCTTTTGAACGGTGGTGTATGCTATAATTTCTTTAAATTCTGTTTTATCAGTTTAATTATCTTCCATGTCTTCTTTGGTGTTCGTCTCAGGTGCCAGGCAGAAAGCAGACTGCTAGTTCAGGTCTGGAGGCGTCCGGCGTGGGATCAAGCAGCCTGGAGTCGGCACAGAACTTCCTTCAGGACAGTCTCATTCGGGTCAGCGCCCTTCAGAACCTGGAAACACCTGGTGCTCAGGATCTGCTGGAGTTTACCATCAGGTTTGAACCTTTAATGCACTACAACTATATTAATTTAAGGTCTTTTAATAAATTGTTTGTTAAGATGATTTTGATTTGTGTCACATACAGAGATCTGCAGCGGTTGGGGGAGCTCCAGACGGAGTTGGCTGGATCTGCAGATTTCTGTGCCACATACCTGCACTGCCAGCTGCTGCTTACCAAAGTGAATACAGATATAATACACTGCTAGTACTTCATTAGCACAACTCCTTAAAGAAAATGTAAAAACCTAGTAATTATTATTGTTGCTGAATATAATTACATACACTACCATTCAAATGTTGGGAGTTAGTAGGATTTTTTTATTTATTTAACAAGGATGCATTAAATTGATTAGAAGTTACCGTAAAAACATTTATGATGGTACAAATGATTCCTACTTTAAATAAATGTTGTTCTTTTGAACATTCTATATTTATCAAAGAATTCTGAAAAAATGCATCACAAATGATGCTGAAAATTCAACTTAGCATCAAAAGAATAGATTACATTTTAAAATGTATTAAAATAGAAAGCAGCAATTTTAAATTATAATATCATCTCACAATATTACATTTTTTTTCTGTATTTTTGATCAAATGTTTAGTCTAGATGAGCATAAGAGACTTAAAACATGAAAAAAATTTTACCGACCACAAACCTTTTAACACTTTTGTAAACCCTTGTAACTGTATTGATAAAATAAGGCATATTATCCATAACTTTTATTGTTTCTTTTAAACCCAGGCACTTCAGGAGAAGATATGGACCATGGCTGTGCCACTTTGTCTTAAACAGAACGCCAAAGTTTCAACAGCCGCTCGACAAGTATGTCCTACCGAAATAATTTTGAACCTGAGCCATCCCACCAAATTTGACCAAAAATCCTTTGTAATGCGTAACAGATCCTGGATGAGACCTATAAGCTGGAGTTCTTGTACAGCGGTCTGGAGACGCAGCAGATCGCCGCTATTCACAACGTCCGGCTGCAGGCGAAAGCGTTACAGCTCATCCTGACGGCCCGATCCAAACGAGGGTCAGCACTTACTAATAAACTTTTATGATGCAGGAAAATCTCAAAGTCTTGAAACTGATCATCTTTCTTCTTCCAAATAACAGGGTTGACTGTGTACTTGGTGTTTGTGAGAAGTTCCTGCAGGATGTGGAGTCATTTCAGAGGTAAACACAGTCAAAGATGATGTGTAATACATGCATAAGATCTCAATCTAAATGCTGATATGTATGAACAATCATTGAATGTTCTTGTCTTTCCATTCTCAGACATTTCATGACAGAGTTGCCCCATTTCCAGGACAGTTTTGTGGAGAAACTCCTGGAGTTGATGCCCAGGCTGACGGCCTGCAAGCCTCTAGATCTGGTTAAAATCCTTCAGACCACACTGCGGCAAAGCAAATTCATCCATCTCAAACTACCCGAGCAGGTTTGTGGATTCTGACACAAACAGCTTCAGGAAGTTCTAGATTGTTTGTTGGAATATCTCTTTTTCTGTTTATTTTGGTTTGTCAGATCCACAGAGCGTCAGCGACAATTATTGAGCCGACGGGAGAATCAGACAACCCTTTGAGATTCACCTCTGGGCTGGTAGTGGCGTTAGACATCGATGCTACTCTTGAACACGTACAAGATCCACAGACAACAGTCAAAGTGCAGGTCAGAGGTTTTCAGTTAAATAAAAAAAAATTCCAACCATTTGTAGACACGTTTCCCCATCCAGTCAATTCCTGATTGATGCATTTAAATCCCAACCTATGCATGCTAAGGTCATAGGTTTGATTCCCATTGAATGCATGAAAGGATAAAACTTTTACCTGAATGCATTCACTTTGGATAAAAGCATCTGCCAGTTGCATAAATGTTAGTAATCCTTCATTCAAAACTGTGTTTTGTGCATAAATTGTCCATTTTATATTGGCTTTAAAGCTGTTTAATAAAATCTTTGTACAATTGATGCTCATTATTCATTTTTTCTTCATCGTCGAAGGATAAAACTTTTACCTGAATGCATTCACTTTGGATAAAAGCATCTGCCAGTTGCATAAATGTTAGTAATCCTTCATTCAAAACTGTGTTTTGTGCATAAAATGAGCCATTTTATATTGGCTTTAAAGCTGTTTAATAAAATCTTTGTACAATTGATGCTCATTATTCATTTTTTCTTCATCGTCCCACAGGTGCTGTATCCAGATGGACAGTCTCACATAATCCACCCCAAACCTGGAGATTTTAGGACCCCAGGACCTGGACGTGTGCGACTGATCACACAGGTTTATCTCTCTCACTCTGCCTGGACAGGTACGTGTCCTTTCTGAAATGTGCTTTAATAGACACATGCACATCAAGACATCAGTTGTAAATTTTTGGTTGAGGATTATTATGCAGCAGCTATTCTTTGTATTTTGTCCTTGAATAAAATAATGTTGCAAACACCATGCCAAATCCTTCTCTGCTGGCAGCGAACAGCATGAACCCTTCACAGTTCCACAGATATAAATAGAACTGCATCCAGTCCAACAAGGCATGAGTTATTTTATATCTGTGTGTGTCTGTGTGACCAGCAGAATACTGAGGCTGAATACATTTCTGCCTTGGAGAAAATCTAAATTGATGTTTTTTTTAAATACATTTTCCTGTCCTTATGGACCCTTTTCACATTTCCAGGGTTTTCAGAAGCGCAAGTCATCATAGTTGTGTAATATAGTGGTGAACACTAAAATCATAAAAAAAACATTTGGTTACTTGAAAGTAAATAAACTACAGAAATAAAATAAAATGTAAAAAAACTTAAACTTATTTTATTTCAGCTAGTTGCCAATGCAACAAATAAAATAACAAACTAAAACTGAAATAAAAATGAATAAAAAATTATATAGACAAAAAAAAGACAAAAACGCAAAAAAATTCTTCAAACTTTAACTAATATTAAAATGAAAACAGAAAATATAAAAATAAAAACTATTATTGAAAACTGTAATAGTATTAAAATAGTGCTACTAAAATAACACTGGTGTTTTTACTTTCAGAGGCCTGTCAGATTGAGGTGCGGTTGCTCCTGGCCTATAGCTCCAGCAGCAGTAAACCATCTGCCTCTAAACCTGCGTGGAACGAGAGTATGGACGGCCTGGCCACCAGCGAGAGCTGTATCGAGGGCACAATCCACCTCAGCAAGCCCGTCAAAGTCTTCATCATGCCCAAACCAGCTCGCCGCTGACCCGAGGAATCCAGGCAGTATATATGTGAAATTAACATCCAACACAAAATCAAGTGTTTTCACAATTATGTTTTATCTGAAATAAATGTTTGTTTTTTGTTGTAGTTCAGTTGTATCACTGTTGTGTATGTGATAATGGGGTATTTTCACAGCCTACATTCAAAGAATAATCATTTAATGATTATAAAGCAAATAACATTTTCACCAAAGGGGAAAAAATCCTCCAGTAGTTTAGAGTGCAAATTAAGAAGCATATACTAAGAAAACAATGTTCATTTGTAATGTAAGGCACTTTAAACAACCAATTAAATGAATTAGCTGATTATTTTAATGATGTGATCAGCAGGTGGAGTGGAAGACCCCGCCGACTTTAGCTCCCTGTCCCACCAGAGCATTATATTCTGTAACGGCCTGCTCGGTCTGAAACACCCTGACATCAACACCCTGCTTCTTCACGTAATCTAGGGTGGATGGAGGCACCTGAAACATAAAAAAAAGCAGATTATCTTATTTAAAGTAATATTTGCTGAATCTGCTGAAAATGTTCTCACCAGAACATCAGAATTTGTTTCTTCATCTGAAAAGATTTGGAGAAATGTTGCATTGCATTACTCGCTCACCAGTGGATGCTCTGCAGTGAATGGGTGCCGTCAGAATGAGAGTCACAAGAACAGTTGATAAAAACATCACAATAATCCACACCACTGCAGTCCATCGATTAACATCTCGAGAAGTCAAAAGCTATGTGTATGTAAGAAAGAAATGTATCATTAAGATGTTTTAACTTTTAACTGTTGCTTCTGGCTAAAATATGAGTCCATAATCTATAATAATGCTTCCTCCAGTGAAAAAGTAATCTTGTCTGAATCAGGAGAGAAATATGTACAGATTAAACACCATAACGCCAGAAGTGATAGTTTGAAGTTAGAAACGTCTTGATGGATTTGTTTCTTTCAAACGCACAGCTTTTCTCTTCACAAGACACTAACTGATGGACTGGAGTGGTGTGGATTACTTGTGGATTATTGTGATGTTTTTATCAGCTGTTTGGACTCTCATTCTGACGGCACCCATTCACTGCAGAGCATCCATTGCTGAGACACTGATGCAGTGCTACATTTCTCCAAATCTGATGAAGAAACAAACTCATCTAAATCTTGGATGGCCTGAAGGTGAGTAAATGTTCAGCAAATTTTAATTTTGGGGTAAACTGTTCCTTTAAGGATTGCAATATTCAGATGGTGGACAGTGCTGATCAGCAAATTCACATTGTTACCTGTAGAGCTTCACTCCTTCCTCAGAACCTCTTCCAGGTCGGCCGGCTGGACGCCTGGATAATGCTGGCAGGAGCACAGATGCACTTTAGACAGAAGAACTCTAATAAATAACATTGAAAGCAGACTGGTTCAAATACAAGATAATATGTTGAACATTTTGGTCACTACTAGATAGTTCCCATACTTCTATTTTTGTTATTTCATAGTTTTAAAAGCTTTACTATTATTCTATAATGTAGAAAATAGTAATAAAACAATAAGTAGATGCATCTTGCTACTATGCACTGACAAATCAAAGAATGTAAATTATAATATCAAATAATAAGAAGATAATGCCATAAGTTGAGGATGATTTTACAGTGAATCTTACATCTGTGCCGGTTTCACGCCAGCCCCAGGCTCGGCTGCCACCCGGCCACACTTTACAGTCTTTGTAGGATGTGGAGCAACCTTTGACCTTCATGTGGCCCCAGGATAAAGAAGCAATATCTGGAGAAGACATGATCAGTTTTCCTGTAAGAGAGTGGAAGACTAATCACATGCATTTTATTAAGTACCATGCTATTTATAAAGATCCTTGGGAGTGCCATGTAAATACAATAGTACATGACTATGTAAAAACTTCAGTATTATGGTATTACTATTTTGCACCATCAATGTACTTTGTTGCAACTAAAATACAATTTAGAAACGATTAGCCCAGCTTCAAAGCACTAGTACATGCATACAACAAAACCTGCCTTGTCTGCTTTAAACAAGGTTTTTATTCATGCAAAAAATTATACTCGAAACAAAAACAACTTTATAATTCATGCACTATAAATGTATTTCATTTACATTATATAATCTTGCCTCGGCCTGCAACTCGATCTCGCTTGTGTTGTGTTTCTCTTCGTGTGACGGCGGGACACGCCCACCACGCACGTCACTGGCCAGCGTCAAATCAGCGTAGGCTTCAGCACTTTACGTTGATTGGCTGCCGTTCAGTGACGTACGAAAAGCAGGAGTCCGTCAACTGACCTGCCACGACATATTAAATATTATTATATATCAGGAGAATTGCATATCAGAAGTACTGTTATTGAATGAATAAAATATGTAAGAATATTGTATTATATGGTTATAATCAGTGTTACTTTTAAAAGTAATGCGTTACAATGTTGCGTTACTCCATAAAAAAGTAACTAATTACGTTACTTAGTTACTATTTATGGAAGTGATGCGGTACGTTACTTTTGCGTTACTTTTTTAATCTGGACAGGGCTTGCTTGGTTGTTTTTAAAATAAAAAAGTATATTTTTGGCAAATATAAAAGCCTCTTCACACCAAAAGTGAAATGAATAAACCTCAGGCTGAAGGGAAAGTACAGTAGAATGCAGAAGAAGACATTTCAACACACTTCAGCAATAAACAAAGACACAAATGTGTGTCTAGAGTAATTTGTGTTTATTAGTACGGTTGAACTGGATCATCGAAGCTCAGAAGCAAATAGAATGGGATTAAATACATAAAGCATATTTGTGTTGTTTAACATTTAATTATTGCAGGTTTGCGTCATATTCTGAGTTGCATTATTTTTATTCATTTTGAGGAATACTGAATCTGTTTTTTGTGAGTGAGATGAATTAATGCATATTCATATTTATTTTGGAACTACAGTAACATCTGATTTCTCTCAGCATGGCAACACCAGAGCTGTCAATCAATAAATTGGGAAACAAAAGTAACTTGCGTTACTTATCTGAAAAAGTAACTCAGATATTCTCTTGTAAATTAAAAAGTAATGCGTTACTTTACTAGTTACTTGAAAAAGTAATCTGATTACGTAACTCGCGTTACTTGTAATGCGTTACCCCAACACTGGTCATAATTAATTAATAGAATGTTTTATTGTTGTTATTAAAATGCATTTGAGTATTTATCAGTTTAATTATTCATCCGAATAAACACACGATATGTCTAAAATAGAAAAATGTCTGTGGAAATAAGTGTGACATGTTATATTATATTGTGTGTGTTTTTTTTTACATTTACATTTAAATATAATGTATTTATTTAACTATTCATCCCGATCATGAATAAACGACGCTTTTTCTATTACAAAAGAGTCGGTGGTAAAAAAAAAAAAAAACTGGCATGTTAAAGCAGCACTTCATGATCTTCATCCTCACTCTATTGTTGTGATGATGAGGATGATGGCGGCGTTGTAGATGCCCCTCTGGATGATGCTCTGGGGTGGTTTTGCGGTGGTCTGCTCGTTTTTGGAGCGCTACGGGTCTGTTCTGGATCTGCCCGAGCTGTCGTTCCCTCAGCTGGAGCGGTACTTACAGGAGACCTCAGCGGGTGAGCTGTGCGAGAGCCCGGGTTTCTGTTTATCTGGACGGGCTCCTCATCTTTACCCATCTGGGGTTTGGTCACTTAAAGTTTGGCTTGTTGGGTCCCCGATGCTTTTCAAACGGAATGTGAAGTGGCGACGTGTTTTCGAAAGCAGTCACGCGTGATTTTTCCACCCTTAACCTTAACATTTTAAGATTAATCTTAGAATACCATTGACTGTGCGCACCGCTAAAGGTGTTAGCACGCTGCTGGTCACAATTAAATGGAGAGACACTTCGATAAACTGGCCTGATACATTTACATTCAGATTATAAACACCGATGGGACCGTAGCCGCACAGTGCGCATGCGCCGGCCGCTGTCAAACTTCCTATGTTACAATATAACGATTGTATGATAATAGTATCGCTGCACAGATTTGTTTACGCGCGATTGTTTACGCCCCGCCCCCTTTGAGTGCTGTATTAATTGTGTACACGTAGGTGTCGCATAACAATAGCTGAATGCGAGCTCCTCCACACTAATGTTGTCGTTTAGGAGAATTGCGTATGTAAATGTCACCGCAGAATTATTGGTCTTCATGCTCTGACATCGCTGACAGCGGATTGGATGGATTTGATAATACTGTATAGTAATGAGAGGGATGTGTTTTAAAAAGCGTTTATTTAAATGAATAAATAGCAAGGGGTAAACAATAATGAGCATAAATAAATGCTGTTATATACAAACATAAATAATAAAATAATTACGGTGGTCCAGATAAAAATGTCTGAATGTGATTGCATTAGTTAAGTTCATATCAAAGGTGTCGCAAGCATGTTTTCCCCCCACCAACAGAAGTTTCATGGTAATGTTACAAATGATCAAATAATAGAAATTCTGATTTCTGTACAATTTAGTTCCTCGGCCGCTGATTGAGCTCCATGTCAAACTACTGCGGAAGATCGGCAAGTCGGTCACACCAGACAGATGGGAGAAGTATCTTGTAAAGGTAAGTGTTTTAGTTTTAAATCATATGCTATGAATATGTAAATGCCCATGCAAATGCATCTGTTTGCTGAAATCATGTTGATGCAGGTGTGCCAGGAATTTAACAGCACCTGGGCCTGGGAAATGGAGAGAAAAAGCTACCTGGAAATGACGGTAGCGTGTAAGACTGGCATTTTAAAGGTCGGTATTTCCAAAGCAACTTATTTTCTGTTCTCAAGCAATAGAGTTTGACTTGTTTTGATGGCGATATTACTTAATAAAGTTGTATTGCTTCTAATGAAACCTGTCAAGAATGTGTCCACGTCATATTTAACCCCAAAATCTATTGTGACTGAGATTCACCTTTATTCCTTATTTCTCTAACAGTACTTGTGCGAGTGCCAGTTTGACGACAATCTCAAGTTTAAGACATTAATCAACGAGGAAGACCCGGACAAGATGCGTCTACAGCCCATCGGTAGAGACAAGGAAGGTCTTCTCTACTGGTTCCAGTTAGATCAAGATCAGAATATACGTGTTTATTCTGAGGAACAGGATGATTTGGATGGGTCCTCATGGAAATGCATTGCGAGGTGAGCAAATAGTGGGGAGAAGACCAGAATGTTGTGAGAATTTTGATGAACATTACAGCTCATTCATGGACTACATTTTAGCATTATTTGTGTTCCCTCAAAAGCTTAAAGGAACACTCCACTATTTTTGAAAATAGGCTAATTTTCCAACTCCCCTAGAGTTAAACAGTTGAGTTTTACCGCTTTCGAATCCATTCAGCCGATCTCCGGGTCTGGCGGTAGCACTTTTAGCTGTAGCTTAGCATAGATCATTGAATCTGATTAGACCGTTAGCATCTCGCTCAAAAATGACCAAAGAGTTTCTATATTTTCCTATTTAAAACTTGACTCTTCTGTAGTTACATCGTGTACTAAGACCGACGGAAAATGAAGAGTTGTGATTTTCTAGGCCGATATGGCTAGGAACTATACTCTCATTCCGGCGTGATATGTGATAATGATATTACGCAGCGCCTGAAAATAGGCTTATTGGAAGTTACCTAGCTGGAGACTATTTTCAGGCGCTGCGTAATATCATTATCACATATCACGCCGGAATGAGAGTATAGTTCCTAGCCATATCGGCCTAGACTTGTTATACTAGTATACAAGTTAAGTATACGAGTGAAATCTCATTTAATGAAGTTTATCAAAGAAAAGAAATGCATTTTTTCCCCAACAGGACTAGGAATGATCTTGCAGACACACTAGAACAGCTTAAAGCCAAGATTGACCCAGCCGCGACGGACCAAGAGAAGCAAGACTGTCCCATCAGCCCAAGTTTGGAGAAAAATGGTGTTAAAGGTGAAACTCGTTGGAAAATAATTTCCATTCAGGGCTGTAAGCACCATAGACATTGAGAGGAAGGAGTCTCACACAGTATCCAGACTAGTGGTCAACCGCTGTGGTTTTTCAGTGGCTGATTCTGAATCGTGAATGTGTAGTTACAGCCATACTCTCACTTATAGAGGTTGAAGCTAAACCGCTTCTCATGTACTTCTGTTTTGTTTCATTTTCAAGGTGAGGCTGAAGACTTGAAGAACCATATATCCGGACAAGGAGATTTTACCAACAGCACCTTCAATTCCAATGAGAGTGAGTTAATTCCTAAAGACATTAAGAAAGAACCAACGGATCCCATTAAACCAGAGCAAGAAGAGAAAGTTGCAGAAATTCTTAAACCCAAAGTTGTCATTGACAACAGGGTTAGTACGATCAAAACTCTCGTCAAAGAAGAACCAAAAGATTGTCCCAAACCATGGAACGCCATTTCCGTCGTCATGCCCCCTGCTTCCGTCAAACACGACCCAGCGGTGAAATCAGAGGTGCACGAAGACAAGAAAGAGCTGGTGTTTGAGAACGTGACTAGAGCTATAAAGAGCGACCAACAGGCTAAAATACCACTGAAGAAGAGGGAGTTGAAAAGGAGTGGAGGATATGATGTCAGCAATCACTACAGTAGCGTCAATCACAACAACAACAACCTTAACAGCAACGGTAGCATCAGCACAGGAGGTATAATCGTTCGCAATCCCGCTGTCTTGCTACTGAAGGAGCAGCAAATCGGCAGAGAATACCCAAATGATGGGGAGAAAGGACCGACGGCCATCATCCCTGTCCCACAAGAGCCAAAGGTTGACAAAATGGCAGCACGGGAACAATACATAGGTGTTATCAAAGGTCCCATTGAGCGTAAAAAGCCATTGAATGAAAACGATAATTCTTCAAATGGTCATCATGGAAATGGGAATGTCTTGAAGACTGAAGTTGGAGTCACAGATAGTTTAAGACAGTCTGTCCTTGTTGGGAAATCCATGATTCAAGCAGACAACGGTCCTCTTCCTTGTAGCATCCCTGAGGGTTTGTCAAAAGATGTTTGCGGTAAGAGCCCAGATGTGTCTGCGAAAGTGGAGAACCTTGTTGAGGAGTCGCCAATGACTGAAGAGACCCCTTCAGTTGAGGAAAAGGTGGAAAAAGCTGACAACGAAGAAGATGAGCTCGAAAGCAAGATGGCTGGTTTGTCAGCTGGAGAAAAAAATGATGTTGTGGTTGAGGATGTCAGCAAAGACAAAAGTCTGAAAAGCCCAAGAAAGAGACGGTTACAAAAGACCAAATCCAAGCTGCAAGTAAGAAAAGATGGGCAAAACGCTTCCAGCATTGGAGAGGTTTTGGAAAAGGGTGCTGAAAAAATTGGACGTGACGATAACGAAGAGGTATCATCAGAACTTCAGAAGGAAGGGATTCGCCTGAAGATTAAGATCCCGCTTCATAGACGAACGCCTGAACTCCAGCACATGGATGTTGAAGAATCGGAAACCAGCAATCGGAGATCACTGCGGAGATCTGCCAGAATCTGCAAGCCCAGCCCCAAAGTGGCAGATAGTCGGGATAGGAAACAAGACGGGAAACTTTTGGCCTCCTCAGCAGCTCAGGAGGAAGAGGAATGCGTAGAAGACGAAGAGTCAAAAGTTCATCCCAAGAAGGAGATGCACAAAAAAGTGGACACGGAAGTACAGCCCAAGTCTTTTAAGGTAGCATGAAAGATTTTTATATCCAGTCCAACGAATTTTACAGTATGTTTTCATTCACGCAAAGGGTTCTTTTGACTCTTTTAGGCCAAACGGCGACACCGGCGGAAATGTTGGTCGAAAATTCGTCCAAAGTCCAAAGGAGCTCAGGAGCGGGAAGATGAAGTGGCTGACGACAAATCCGCAAACAATGAAGACAACAAATCAGAGGAAGGAGACCACAAGAGTGAGAACGAATCGGACCAATCCAATGAGATTCCACCGGAAGATGCTTGTAAACACTGTGGGCTCGCCAACCACCCAGAACTAGTGAGTTATTGTTCGTCAGTTCAGACTACTACTTTAGGTTATAAATCGATTATACTTTAATGTCCCAAAAGGGAGAGTTGTCTAGGACTCAATGTACAGTGTACAACCACAAATATCAAATGGCAACATGAGTGGTACTTGCTCATGTGAAACTCATTACTAGAGTGTTTCTATGTGGTTTTTAACATGTTGCTATACAATTGCTAGCTGGTTACTTACTAGTTCAAATTAAGAGAAATTGCTGCAGGTTTATGGGATATTTTAAAATATTTATTAATATATTTTCAAACAGTGTTGTTATTGTTAACTACAACTAAAACTATTAAAATGTTTTTTCTTAGTTGAAAATGCTGAAGTGAAATAAAAAATACATATTAGATGAAAAACTGAAACTTCAAAAACTTTAGAAATATTAGAATTGTTGCCTTGGCAACTAATTAAAATAAAATAAGTTTGAAGTACTGAAATTACTAAAGCTAAAATAAATTAAAGCTAAATAATAAAAAAAAAATGACAAAAACGTAAACTAAACTGAAAATGTAAAAAAATCTAATATTAAATATTAAAATATTAATAACTAATGTAATAGTATATAAATAGTTCTAAAATAACATTGATCATCACCCATATTTTTTTGCCTGGGAGGCAAAGTACTTGTTTAAAGTAAGTAAGTAAATAAATGAATAAAAAATTAAAATAAGACACACATAATAGAACATACTTATGGTTAAAGGTTTGTTAAACTCCAACTCCAACAGTAGGTATAAGGGTTTATTCAGCTAATAATATTCATTAAAAACTGTATAAAAGAATATGAAGTGTAATTGAGGCACAAATGCTTCTGAAATGATTCAAGCTACAAGACGAGACTTAAAGGGGTCATATGATGCTGCTAAAAAGAACATTATTTTGTGTATTTGGTGTAATGAAATGTTTATGCGGTTTAAGGTTAAAAAAACACATTATTTTCCACATACTGTATATTATTGTTTCTCCTCTATGCCTCGCCTTTCTGAAACGCGTGGATTTTTACAAAGCTCATCGGTCTGAAAAGCAAGGTGTGCTCTGATTGGCCAGCTATCCAGTGCATTGTGATTGGCCGAATACCTCAAGCGTGTGACGGAAATGTTACGCCCCTCACCATACTGTGATGCTGTGTCCCGGCAGGAGCGACGAGACAAAAACATTAAAACCCATTATAAACTAGGCATTTGTTGCATTCAGTGGGGACATAATTAGGATTATAATGACTTATACTGTCTTGTGTTGCATCACGCCGCGTAAACATAAAACCATGTCTGCGTTTGTGATCGGAGAAATGACAAACAACAAGCGCTACTCTACACTGCTCAAAACTTGCTTTTGAATCGTCTAGTTTCGCTTTCAAAACGAAACACACGGTGTCACACACGGCAGGCTAGAGTGAACAGTGGCAGGCGGGCCGGCAGATTTGACGAAGGAGCGTCCGGAGGGCTTGCGGCAACCACATGTGACGACCCCGGGCTGGACTCCGCTTCGTCCACGGTGAAAGCCGATCCGGTGATCCACAGCGCGAAGTTGTAGTATTTCCTCAGCGACCAGCACGGATCAGCTCCAGGCATGACGAAGCAGATATCATCCTCTTTTGGAAGACCAAACAAAGTAGTTTTGCTTTCACAACGAAGCACACAGCGCCTTCACAACATGGCGGCAACAACAATACTACAGCGAGAATAAAAGTTACGCCTTCTTTCTTTGCGTGAACATTTGGGCGGCAAATCTTCCCACATCGTGACGTAGACATGTGGCGGCGTGTTTAAACGAGGCGTTTTAGGGGGGCGTGGCAGAGTCTTAACTTTGATAAAGAATATCTCTTTGGTTTTGAGACTTTAGTCTTTGCAACTTCAGGGATCTTATCTATGCACAATCAGCTTGTAACACTCCAAAGAGAAAGAAAAACTTGAAATTGCATCATATGACCCCTTTAAAATTGCCTATCAAATGGCATAGATAATACTTTAAAAAGCGACATAACTAATACTATTTGTTTATTTAATATTCTTAAAGAACATAATTTCTCTCTTGTATGTTTGTCCCAGATCCTTCTCTGTGACATGTGTGACAGCGGCTATCACACGGCCTGTCTGAGGCCTCCTCTAATGATCATTCCTGATGGAGAATGGTTCTGCCCTCCCTGCCAGCATGTAAGGGCTTCAATCTCTGCGTCATATGCTTGTGTGTGCATGTGAGCCGTATTCATCAAGTATATGCTCTTGTCATTCACAGAAGCTTCTCTGTGAGAGGCTGGAAGAACAGCTTCAGAATCTGGACACAGCTTTGAAGAAGAAAGAGAGAGCTGAACGGAGGTGTAGATCCACACACACATGCACACACGTCTAGGGATATGCCGGTATCAAATTTTCATGTTGTGATTAATTGCTAATGCTTTTATCACGGTATACGGTATTATCACAATATTGAAATTTAGTTGAAAAAAAGTGTTGTCATAATACAGTATAACAGGTTTAATCATTTTTTTATAACAAAAATAACTGCAAATTTAAATAGGCCTACAGCAATACACAAAAAATGTATACATTTAAAATGTTTACACAGATTAAAGTGCAAAGGAATTATGAAGACCTATAGGTATCACTTTACAATAAGATCTCATTAGTTAACCTTAGTTAATGCATTAACATTCACAATGAGCAGAAGTTATTAATCTTTGTTAAAAATACAACTCTTAGTTCATGTTAGCTCATTAAATAACACAGTTGCAACTTTTGATTAATAAATAAATATTGGAATTACCTAAGAATAATGAATGTTTAGAAGAATTTTTCATTGGCAGTTTGTTAACTAATGAATTAACTAATAGCCCTAAAGTAAAGTGTGATCGAACAATAAAGAATCAAAACACTTTCAAACAATATCTAGGGCATGTTGTAGTCACTGGTCTATTGTATATGTATTCATCAGTAGTTGTAGTCCAGATTAAAATGTAAAAAAGTTTGAAAATAAATAGCCTATTAAGGCTAAGTATTTAAGTATTTGACGCTGTGATTAACACCATATATGCAAAACTTTAAAATTCTTCAATACAAATTTCATAAATAAATATTGGAATTACCTAAGAATAATGAATGTTTAGAAGAATTTTTCATTGGCAGTTTGTTAACTAATGAATTAACTAATAGCCCTAAAGTAAAGTGTGATCGAACAATAAAGAATCAAAACACTTTCAAACAATATCTAGGGCATGTTGTAGTCACTGGTCTATTGTATATGTATTCATCAGTAGTTGTAGTCCAGATTAAAATGTAAAAAAGTTTGAAAATAAATAGCCTATTAAGGCTAAGTATTTAAGTATTTGACGCTGTGATTAACACCATATATGCAAAACTTTAAAATTCTTCAATACAAATTTCAATACAAAAATCTGAATGGCTATTTAAATAATTTAAATAAGTTTCAGAAACCGAAAGTAGTGCAGCTGCTTTGTTTACATGGTTTTCGGGGGTAACAGCTGCATTATGTTCAGCGCCATCTGCAGCCAGAGTGTGAATGTGCTTTCATTCAGAGCATCTCTCACGCTTTCCGCCATGTGTTTCTCATCCGTGCCTCCCTGCGTCCCAATGTGCATTCTAGCCACCCTATCTGCCCTAAATAGTATTGAAAATTACTACTATCACATAGAATTTAGCATGGATAGTATGCACATTAGGGCATCAGAGTGCGCATGTGTCTTTGACGCAGCATAAAGCCGTGTTGTGCAATGTGACCAGTTGATGGGAAAAGTATTCTTAAAATGCATTCAAAATTCAGAATAATTTCTCGGTATTTTGAAGTGCCCATGATAAAAATATCATGCATGTATGTTCATTATCATGATATAATCGCATGACCGAATACCGGCACATGTCTACACACGTCATAAACACTCTCATCAGCTCATCTCCATTCCCATGAATCATCATCAATAATGAGTAGCTTATGTGATTCTGAGTAGTTTTGCTTCTTGTTTTCTCTCTTTCAGACGTGAGCGGTTAGTGTATGTGGGTATCAGCGTGGAGAACATTATACCCACCCCAGTGAGTATGCAGCCATTATATTATATTTGATTTGATTTGATAATGTCCCATACTGTACTTTCCTTTAATATAATGTGATGTACTGTACTGTACCATACTGTATTGAACCATATGCTGCACTATTTTATACTATAGTAAACTATGCCAAAGTATGCTATGCTATTTTTAAATTAAAAATACATTTATATTATATTATATTGTTATGTTATATTATATTATGTCCCATACTGTACTTTCCTTTAAAATAATGTGATGTACTATACTGTACCATACTGTATTGTACAATATGCTGTACTATTTTATACTAAAGTAAATTATGCTATGCTATTTTTAAATTAAATATAAATTTATGATATATTATTTTATTTTATTTTATTTTATTATAATATCCCATTCTTTCCTATAACAAAATGTGCTGTGCTATACTGTATACTGTATTGTAGTATAGTAGTATCCACAGTAGTACAGCCATAACCATAACGATCCTGTTTAACCAATCCTGCATTGAGAGAGGTTAGGAACGCCTAACTTATTAACATACGGACACAGAAATACAGAAATGTAGAAATGCATAAATAAATGTAAAAATAAATAAATGTGGAAATACAGAAATAAATGTAGCATAACACAAATGGTACAAAATAGCAAAATTAAAAATTAAGACATTTTTGACAATTATTTATTCATTCATTTATGCGTATCTGCATGCATTAATTTATTTCAGCATTTATTTATTAATTTATGTATTTCTACATTTATTTATTTGTTTCAGCATTTAATTATTTATTTATTCATTCATTTATTTATGTGTTTCTACATTTATTTACTTATTTATTTCTGTATTTATTTATCTCTTTCAGCATTTAATAAATTATTTATTTATTTATTCATGTATTTCTACATTTATTTATTTCTGCATTTCTGTGTTTATTAATTTATTTATACTTAAGTAATTTCTCATCCTCCATAATAATAGCCTATGCTATATCTAAATGAATTAAACATAAATTAGTTATTATATTGTATCATATTATTATACAATGTCACATACTGTACTTTAACATAATGTGCTATGCTGTACTGTATCATACTGTATAGTACCTCATTCTATACAATAGTATACTATAGTAAATTATGCATAGCATCTAAATCAATTTAACATAAATCAGTTATTTTGTATTATTGTATTATAATGTATTATTATAGAATGTTGCATACTTTAATTTCCTATAATATAATGTGCTATGCTATATTGTACCATACTGTAAAATACCTTATTTTATACCATAGTATACTATAGTAAATTAAGCTATAGTATGCTATGCTATATATAAATGAATTAAACATATATGAATTATATACTGTAAGCTAATAAGATGAGAATTAAAATGTCTGAATCAGCTTTATTTGGTATATCAGGATGGTGACGGAGAGGACAGCTTAACGGAGAAGAAAAAAGATACCAAGAAGAGTAAGAATCTGGGGAGGCGATCGACTAGGACGAGGAAATCCATCAGTTATAGGTAATCAACATTTCTTGTAGAAATAAACTCTTAAGAGTAGATATCTGAAGTCTGACTAATTCTTGATTTTCTTATCACTAACTACCAGATTTGATGATTTCGATGAAGCCATTGATGAAGCAATAGAGGAAGACCTTCAAGATCCAGAAGGAGGAGGTTGGTCATGTGAGACACTGTTTAGTGCTTTATAAAATGTGACCCTGGAGCACAAAACCCAAAAGTCTTAAGTAGCATGGGTATATTTTTAGCAGTAGCCAAAAGTATGGGTCAAAATTAAAGATTTTTCTTTTATTCCAAAAATCATTAGGATATTAAGTAAAGATCATGTTCCATGAAAATATTTTGTAAATTTCCTACTGTAAATATATCAAAACTTAATTTTTGATTCGTAGTATGCATCGCTAAGAGCATCATTTGGACAACTTTAAAGATGATTTTCTCAATATTTAGATTTTTTTGCACCCTCAAGATTCCAGATTTTCAAATAGTTGTATCTCAGCCAAATATTGTCCGATCCTAACAAACCATACATCAATGGAAAGCTTATTTATGATGATGTATAAATCTCAATTTCGAAAAATTGACCCTTATGACTGGTTTTGTGGTCCAGGGTCACATACTGTATGTTTTTGGTTGCATATTGAATTGACTGGTGGCGTGTCCTGCAGGCGCTGGTCGCGGTGAACCTCCGGCGCCCGTCACGAGTCAGCAGAGGAGCGCGGTGAGCCGAGAGAGTCGGCGGCCTGTGAAAGCTCCCGCCCCGCGCAGGAGGAAACGCCGGCGACTCAATGACCTGGACAGTGACAGTACGCAGGATGAGGAGGAGAGCGAGGATGACTTCCAGCTCAGTGACAGGTGTGTAAACACACAAGAATATTTACAATACCAGGGAATCAAATTTGGGCTTTTGGGGTTCAAACCAGATGGATTTTATACCGTTTCATAAAAATATAACGCATCTCATTCACAAATAAACAATTATGCTTTCCAAATATTTTTTATATATATAATTTTTCTTTTTATACAGCACCATTAATTACAACCCATGGTTGTCCAAAGTGCTTTACAACAAAAGAAAAAACACAAAAACACATTTACTTAAAAAAAATTAGACAAAAGACAATAAAATAGCAATAAAATGTATGACAGGAAAGCATTAATACAGATCGTAAGCCTTATCAAATAAATACGTTTTTAGGATAGACTTAAAAGGCTCCTGGTGAATTTCACAAAACTTGTCAAGAACTGGCGCTGGGCATATTTTACCCCAAAATCAAAGGAAATAAGACACTATTTTCGTATTTTTAGGACCATTATGTTTTTTTGCATGATAATTAAACACCAACATTTTTCTCCAAAATTCCTTTTACTGTAATGTAAAATTGTAATTTATTTATACATCATGGTAGTATTTGTTGCACTACGTATTTAACTTGCATTGATCTAATAATTATCACTCTTTTCATTGTCAGTCATTACAGTATTTTGTGCTGTAATGTAGTAAATTATACACTAAAAATTACAACTAGAAATGTAAACTGTTTTCTTCTCCTCCTGTATTTCCAGAGTCTATACTTTCTAAAGACTTTGAGCCAAAGGAATCGCTTCAAAGATCAGAAAAAGGACGCAAGTGTGATTCATCGAGGGAAGACTCCAAACACAGGCACAAACGAGAAAAACAGAGACAGCAGAGAAGCTCCAGTGAAGACGAGGAGGAGGAGGGAGGAGAAACAGAGGACTCTGAGGAAGACGAACAGCCCCTCCGCAAGAGGTCGAACCGCATTGAAACAGACGAAGAAGAGGAGGAAGAGGAGAACACACGAGGAAGCGTCCGGTGGAAGCACACGGCGGGCTCTCGAGGTCCCGTCAGGCACAATGGCTTGGTCCCCCTGAGGGCCGCAGCTCAGGATGATGACGATGATGAGGATGAGGAAGAGTTCACTGGAGTCACGGACCTTGTTAACTTAGTTTTCGACAGTGAACAGTTGTCATGATCAGCTCAGTAGGTTAAATATGTTTTCTCATCGCCTTCTCACGGGAATGTCCCTCATCAGCCACCGTAGTCTCCTGGTTTTGGGTGTAGTGGACCAAAAATGAAGCTTCCAGACGAATGCCGTAGTGTCCGTTCAGATGTTTGAATGCACTGTAGTTCATCCAGCCGCATGCATTGTCCTACCGGTTTAGAACAGGGTCTTCTTAATACTCCAGTCACCATTCCTCAGAGTGAAGCACTTTGTCATTTACGGCCAGTACGATTTCGTTTGTATAGCAGCTTCGGTCGTCCTCTAGAGACACTGGACGGCGTGCATTTGAAGCTTACGTGTTACGTGCATTTCAAACTGGTGTTTTAGACTTTTACATTCTCCGTGTTGCTGTTTTCTTCTTTTTGTACCTGAAGGAAATTTGGGATTGACTTGTGATGCCGACCCTTGCCTAAATGCATTCATTCAATTTAAGGAATAGTTCACCCAAAAATGAGAATTTGCTGAAAATGTAGATGACTTTGTTTCTTCATGGGAGCAGATTTGGAGGAATGTAGCATTGCATCACTTTCTCACCAATGCATCCTTTGCAGTGAATGGGTGCCGTCAGAATGAGAGTCCAAACAGTTGATAAAAACATAACAGTAATCCACACCACTCCAGTCCATCAGTTACCGTGTTGTGACGCCAAAAGCTGCATGTTTGTAAGAAACATATTCATCATTAAGATGTTTTAACTTCAAGTTGAGTCCTCTGTCCAGAGAAAAAGTCTTGTCTGGATCAGGAGAGAAGTATGCAGAGATCCAGCATCATTTACAAGTGAAAACAGCCCGTAACAGCTCTAAACAAATATATGGGTGGATTTTGATGTGAGAGGCCAACGGCGAACAGACTTTTTCACTGGAGAAAGCGTTATTATGGATTTTAGCTGGAAACAAGGGTTTGAAGTATAGAACGTTCTAATGATGGATCTGTTTCTTACAAATACGCAGCTTTTGGCTTCACAAGAAGTTAACTGATGGACTGGAGTGGTGTGGATTATTGTGATGTTTTTATCAGCTGTTTGGACTCTCATTCTGACGGCACCCATTCACTGCAGAGGAGTGATGGAATGCTACATTTCTCCAAATCTGTTTAAATGGGGAAAAAACAAACAAACTCATCTATATCTTAGATGGCCTGAAGGCGAGTACATTTTCAGCAAAATTTCATTTTATGGTGAATTATTCCTTAAAAACTAAATTAGTAGACCAGCAAATAAAGGAAGAAACACATTGGAGGATAATTGAAAATGATCTTAATATTAAAGATGATTTTAATTTAAAAGACTAATATACTCTCTGTACCTAAAATAACATTGTATGTTATATTACAACAAATATTATTATCTTATTTCTCAGATTAGGACATTTTCTGTACTTTGAAAGCTGTTGCTGAAGTTTTAGGACACTTAATGAGACGTTCAGTCACATTTAAGTTAACGTGTCAACTGAATGCACTTGTCATTCAAGCACCTTTGACGGTGCCGTTTGGTACCAACCGTATTGTTGAAATGTTCTGTTCGACAGCAGTCTGGATCGCTCTTTTCAGAGTTGTTTTTTAGTGATTACTCCAGGCTGGTGTTCTTTATGCTGGAAGATTGTTTGAATTAGAACACTATGAGATCATTCCAACACCAATCCAATATTCAAAAAACCCCACAAGCACTAGAATAATAATGGTGTTTTAAAATAATCATGGTCTTTGCTTTCAGTTAAAGAATGTGTTTTTGAGCCGTGTACTACTGGAATTCGTGTTTTCCTTCTCATTTTATTTCACTCTTACTTTCCAGATGTACATCTCCATATTTCAAGGAAATTATTCACAAAACGGAAATAAACTTAATGTTGCTGTTAATGTTTTTGGCTCCTAGTTTGTCTTTTTTTTAAGAACCTGTAATGGATTCAAGAAACTAGCAGCATTTACTTGTATGGGTAGTTGACGGCATGACAGTTTTAATCTATTTAATATTTTAGATTTAAATGCATATGAACATATAAGAGAAAGTGTATATTTGAGATGTTTAGAAATGCAAATGTAGTGCTGTGGATGGTATTGAAAGCAGGGCTCTGAACCGGTTCAAGGAACGAAAACCGGAAGCTAACGAAGGAACAGAACCAGAAACGAAATCCAATTTTATAGTTCCGAACAGAATCGAACATTTGAAATGGCCATTAACCGGTTAATAACGTTATTTTATCATTCCATTTAATATTTGAAATTTGCTGTCAACCAATCAGGAATTCAGATATGCAAATGTGACGCTGACGCATCCAACACCTGAAATGCCCGCGAGCGCCGCCATTTTGAGAGGATCGCCCTCTGCTACAAATGCTGAAATTGATTTGTTTTTGCCTTTAAGTTAAATATTCACATTCATCGTTTGCAGGGAAGAGAAGCTATCGCTATATTAACTTGTTTAATTACACGTTAAGCGTTTTCGTCCCTTTAGAAAATCGTAATTGAAGAAAACGCTTATGCATTAAAGACCGTATTTAAAGTTCACATTTTGGGTTCATCAGTTTTTCTACAGATATTTTGCTTTATTAGTAAGGTGTGTACAGAATGTGATCTTTTAATATCACTGTCTCGGTACAGTATTCTAATTGGTTGAGATAGTGAATTGCTGGGTTTTTGTTAAATGTGAGCCAAAATCATCACAATTAAAAGAACCAAAGACTTAAACTACTTCAGTCTGTGTGCATTGAATTTATTTAATACACGAGTTTCACAATTTGAGTTGAATTACTGAAATAAATGAACTTTTCCACGACATTCTAATTTATTGAGATGCACCTGTAAGTTATATGCTTAAGAGTTTTGCGACCTGCTTCCCTTGGGGTTTTTAGACATAGAAAAGGAGAAAAAACACACGGCACTGTCCATTTTTCCCTCAGAACGATGATCGGGGTTATTCTCGATGCAGCATGAATGACAAACAATGGTGACATTTTCCACAATCACGACAGAAAATCGAAATACTCTGCCCTCTGAGAGTTTCCCAGAACTCAGCTTCATAAAACATGCGTGTGCATTGGTTGAATACCCATATGCAAACAATAAAGGAATCTATTTACATTTTGAAACATTAATTAAACGTGCTATAATGCAAAGTAGTTGTTTAAATCAGGCGAATTAGTTAAATTGTGAACAAAGGAAATTGTGCAGTATCTCCTCCGATCCTGAAGAGGCGCTACGCTTTTGTTTATGATTTGAAACGCACGCGCTCTTTTCTTGCGTCATAAAGCGGCGCGTCTGGCGCTGATAGAAATAATAACGAGTAGAATGGATTAAAACCCTTACAATGGGCGGTGCTTAGCGGCCGTACGTCATCTATAATTAGTCCGTTAAGATGTGTAAAAATAATTAATAGCTTTCAATCCCTATTAAGGTTTCTTAGTACTGTTTTCAAGTGCTATTTTTGATCCATGTCGCTGCTAAAGCCCTGTAGCTCCTCGCTGCAGAACAAAGATCCGGGGCGCGGGGTTGGATCCACATCTAGGGTGCAGATGGGTGGGTTTAGGGCGGTTTAGGGGTGGAGACGGGTGGGTTTAGGTATATGTAAGGTGAGAGGAGTTGGATCTGGATCTTGTGTTCTGCGGTGAGGACCATCTCGCTAAAGCAGCAACGCGCAGCGATGTCACGTGGTAGCTGTTACTTTTCTCCTCGTTGCAGACCTTGGACCAATCACAATCGTTGATGATTACAAATTAATTTTGTTTAATCGTCCTACAGATACTGCTCCGCTGAATATTCGATTGTTTAATATATACTTATCTTTGTAATTGGTTTATTTTAGACGCAAACGTCTCCAATAAGACAAAAAACGTATTGAGATTTGAATGCGTCTCAATGGAGAATCCGCCTTTCTGGGCCACACAGCGCCCCCTGCAGTAATAAACCGGGATTTTACAGGAAACAGTTAGTAGAGCCAGTTCAGTGACGCATGACAGCGAATCTTTGAACTATAAAATCCATTTGAAAGTTTCTCGCCACGCGAACCGGCCGCGTTTCGCTTGCACATGAGTGCAGTTAAAGGAGAAAGCTTCGAAACGCTTGAATGAGAGTTACTGTTGTTGTTGCTGCTGCCGGGCTTTATTTGCGTATTGTCTCAATAGAGCATCAGTGTTAGCGCCTTCACAGCTTCACGGTGATTTAATTCATCAGGATGGTTGTGTTGAAGAGTTTGCATCCCCCCAGCGAGGGCGTGAGGCTCCAGCAGGCCGACACCACTGCAGTTCTGGACGGGAAGAGGCTGGGATCAGGGACGCTGTTTGTGGCTGAGGCGTGAGTGTGTGTGTGTGTGTGTGAGAGAGTGTGAGTGAGAGTGTGAGAGAGTGTGAGAGTGTGAGAGTGTGAGTGAGTGAGAGTGTGAGTGTGAGAGTGAGAGTGAGAGTGTGAGTGAGAGTGTGTGAGTGAGAGTGTGAGAGTGAGAGTGAGTGTGAGTGTGAGTGTGTGAGTGTGAGTGTGTGAGTGTGAGTGTGTGAGTGAGAGTGTGAGAGTGAGAGTGAGTGTGAGTGTGAGTGAGAGTGTGAGAGTGAGAGTGTGAGAGTGAGAGTGTGAGAGTGAGTGTGAGTGTGAGTGAGAGTGTGAGAGTGTGAGTGAGAGAGAGTGTGAGAGTGTGAGAGTGAGAGTGTGAGAGTGTGAGAGTGAGAGTGTGAGTGAGAGTGTGTGAGTGAGAGTGTGAGAGTGAGTGTGAGTGTGTGAGTGTGAGTGTGTGAGTGAGTGTGTGTGAGAGAGTGAGTGAGTGAGTGAGTGAGTGTGTGAGTGTGT